TCTGGGCTGCAGTTAAGAAGGGTAGAGGGCCTGATTTGCTCCACTGACTTCAACCATAAACACCCTAGGGTGGAAGTGTTTTCCAAATGTTAATGCCTTCTTTCCTGTGTCTTATAAGAAGAAACAGCGGTCACATTTTCCTGCACTTATTAGTCTGTCTCGAAACTATTCCTAATATACCAACCTCAGGACATGAGGTTCTTGGAAGCAAATTATCAGATTGCTTTTACTGAACTGCAAGTAAGGTTACATTTTTACTTAACCAACATTCCAACTTGTAAAACAGGCTTTGGAAATGATGTAATTTAAGGAAAAATAATCATATCTGAAGTGATGCTTAAACAGAAATTTTGCTTTATTGTAATAGTTTATTTATAGAATGATTTGCATTTAATCTTAGTTTTGCATAGCAAAGGGTTTGTTCTGGAAGTGATACTTATGATGTGTTCATTAGTTTAGAGGTGCTGGAACACACCCGAGTGGGGTTCATCTATTTGTGCAGGCAGCACAGGGCTGATCACAGCAAATCACATTGATCCACCCCTCATGGTGCCCTGTCACCAGTCACCCTCCTCCAAGTAAGGTAGCTCATGGAGTCTCACAACCCCCTCCAGGGATCCCAGCAGGAGCCTCAATTACAAATGTGGGACTTCTGGGATCACACAGCCAGTGCTTCCAGGACTGAAATCTGTCCACCAGGAACTGAGATGGGTAGCACTTGGTGTTCCTTAAGCACAAGATAATAGATGAGTTAAGGGTAGCAGGTGTTTTTGCACAACTCGCTGCAGAAAAGATATTATAATAGGTAAGCCCTGAGCTCCCCAAAGCCAAGCTGCCTCCTTCTCCTGATTTTTGTTTGTTTGGTTTTGTTTTGAGTTGGAGTCTCACTCTGTTGCCCAGGCTAGAGTGCGTGGCACATTCACGATCACCCCAGTGTCAACTCGCTGGGCCCTGGTGATCCTTCCGCCTCAGCCTTCCAAGTAACCGGAACTACAGGCGTGTGTTACCACCCCTGGCTAATTTTTTTATTTATTGTAGAGACGAGGTCTCGCAAAGTTGCCCAGGCTGGTCTCGAACCCACGAGCTCAGGCAATCCACTCGCCTCGGCCTCCCAAAGTGCAGGGATTACAGGCAAAGTGCTGGGATTACAGGCTGAGCCATCTAGTCCGGCCCTCCTGTTTTTAAGTGCTATCCTTCTTGAGGGCTGCTAGGGAAGACAGACACTAGGACGAGCCCAGAAGATCACCCAGGGCCATCGGAGTCTGGTGGTGAAGGGCCTGCTCTCCTCGGTACCCTTCCTGAAGAAGCAGCGTTGTGGTCCGTACAACATTGCCACCTTGCACCCACCATCATCATATCCAGAAGGCTTCTCCTGGTCAACGGTCAGGTTGAGCACAGAGAGACCAGGTGCAATGCCAGGTGCAATGCACCTCTTCTTTAAAGCACATCGCCTTTTTTTTTTTTTTTTTTTTGAGTTGGAGTTTCACTCTGTCGCCCAGACTGGAGTGCAGTGGCCGCTCCCGGCCACCGCAACCTCGACCTGCTGGGCTCCGGAAATCCTTCCGCCTCAGCCTTCCAAGTAGCTGGAACTACAGGTGCGCGCTACCACGCCCGGTTAATTTTTGATTGATTGTAGAGATGAGGTCTCGCCAAGTTGCCCAGGCGGGTCTCGAACCCACGGGCTCAGGCAATCCACTCACCTCGGCCTCCCAAAGCGCTGGGATTACCGGCTGAGCCCCTGAGCCCGGCCACATCGCCGTTTTTTAAGGCGACACACAGGCGCAAAGGTCACCTGGTTTGATGATCAGAACCACTCAGTACAGGACGCCCGTCCTCTTCACCACCAACCTACTTTTATAACATCGTTTATACTGAAGAATTCAGAACCTGTGAAATCCTCTTTCAGGTGTGAACAAGGGAACTTGCGCGGAGTCAAAAGTCAGAACCCCGCCCCTGTCCCCTCGCAAGGCCCCTGCCGTGTCCTTCCTCCTCTCCCGGGATCGACGTCTCTCTGAGCCAATCGGGGACGGCTCAGCTTTGCTCCGCCTCCTGGAACCTCTCGCGCATGCGCCCTAGGCCAAGGGAGGGGGCGGGACACGCGTAGCCGGCTTTCGGCTGCACGGGGCGTGGCGTTCCGTGGATCCCGCCCGCCATGCAGGCCCGCTGGGACTCCGCAGCCGCGCCAGGCCCGCGGGTACACGTGGTAGGTGCCGGGTGGTGGGTCGACTGCGCTCCTCCGCCTCTTCACACTCTCCCCTTCTTCTCCCCTCTTCTCACTCCGTCCTGCCCATCGTATTCTTGTCTCTCTTCCTCCTCCTCCCCGGGGTCTTCACGTCCCACACCACTACCTTCCGACTTGCCGTCGAGGTCCTCCGCCCAAGCAGTGTGTAAGCCCCAGCAAGAGTGAAGCTGTGAGTGGAAGGGTGTGTGATGAGCAGAGTCGCGGGTCGGCGCCGCGTGGCTTTGGAATCTCTGACTTCTGGGCGGTGTCACCTTCTCCCCTTCACCACAAACTCGTCCCCCTGGGGACTTGCCCTGTCTTAGTTTGAAACCTCCGTGCTGGGAGCACACTCAGCGTGCCCCAGCTGGCCCTCACAGGTGCGGAGGGGGCAGCGTCCTTTCCTGGTAGTGGAGTGAACGGACAGCACACCTGTCCGCCTGCCCCGCCCACTCGCCCTGCCCCCCGCCCTACAGACCTGACCTACAAGCCCTACACGATTGCCCTACAAGCCTGCCCTGAACACCCGCTCTGTCCTAAACACACACCCTGCCTGCCCTGCACACATGTCCCTCTGCCACCCTGCACACTTGTACTGCATGCCCTGAACACTTGCTCTGCACACCAGCATACTAGCTTTGCACACCTGCCTTGCATGCTGGTGGAGGCTGGAGCAGAGGGCTTCAGGGTTCAGATGTCAGAAGGAGCCTAGAGGCTGATGTAGTGAGAGCCACAGAGATGTAGGATTAACAATAGTCCAAAGGCTCCATGCAGGGTGGCTTGATTGTTTTTATGCCAGTCTTACTAAAATTGGTGACAGATTAATCAAGGTTCATCTTTGTCAGAAACTGACATTATGTTTTGTCTTGTAGATCTTGAGTAAAGTAAAAATACGCTTTCCTTCTTTTCCTTTAAAAAAGTAAATCCAAAGTAAATTTGTAAATAGATTAGGGTACTAGTTTTATGCCTATAAATATAAGTCTACGAAGGGATATCACTGTTGGATCAGATCCTCCTAGGGAGGTTTCATTTGTAACGTACTTGACTGAATTTTTTTTTTTCTTTTTTAGTTGGAGTCTCTGTCACTCAGGATGGTGTGCAGTGGCCTGCTCATGGCCACCGCAGTCACAACCTGCTGGGCTTGTGATCCTTCCACCCTCAGCCTTCCGAGTAGATGGAACCACAGGCATGTGCCACCACACCCAGCTAATTTTTTGATTTATTGTAGAAAAGAGGTCTTACCAAGTTGCCCATGCTGGTCTCGAACCCCGGAGCTCAGGCAGTTCTCTCGTCTCCATTTCCCAAAGTGCTGGAATTGCAGGCATGAGTCACCGTGCCAGGCTGAATTGTATTATCTTTTTTTGAGTTGGAGTCTTACGCTGTCATGCAGGTTGCAGTGCAGTGGCATGTTCCCGGCCACCACAGTCTCGATCTGCTGGACTCAGGCTGTCCTTCCACCTCAACTTTCCAAGTAACTGGAACCACAGGTGCACACCATCATGCCTAGCTAATTTTTTGATTTGTTGTAGAGATGAGGTTTTACCATGTTGCCCAGGCTGGTCTTGAATCCCTGGACTCAGGTAGTCCTCTTGCCTTGGCCTCTCAAAGTGCTGGGATTACACGCTAGAGCCGCTGTGCTTTTCATAACCATATTTGAATTTAATGTTTTAAAAAATCATATCTACATTATATATGAATATGCAATACACACTTATATATGTATGTATATATGTGTACACACACACCTGACTGGTTTATGTTTTGCCCAATTTCTTTTTTTTTTTTTTTGAGTTGGAGTCTCACTCTGTCGCCCAGACTGGAGTGCAGTGGCCGCTCCTGGCCACCGCAGCCTCGACCTGCTGGGCTCTGGCGATCCTTCCGCCTCAGCCTTCCAAGTAACTGGAACTACAGACGTGCACTACCACGCCCGGCTGATTTTTTGATTTATTGTAGAGATGAGGTCTCGCTGCCCAGGCGGGTCTCGAACCCACGGGCTCAGGCAATCCACTCACCTCAGCCTCCCAAAGGCGCGGGATTACAGGCTGAGCCACCGAGCCCGGCCCAATTTCTTTTATTAAAGGTATAAACTCAAGGATGAGGACAGACTGTAATTTCTATGGGTATTTAATTAATATAATTTGTAAAATTAAGACAATTCCTGTAATTGGTTGTTTTGTTGGTAGTCAGGTTTCACTGGTTTCATTCCATACCAGTTTTGAAATTTTTGTTTTGGGCTCCTTGAGCAAAGGACAATGCTGGCGCCAAAGCAGCCCTAAACTAACTGTAGAACAAAGGAATAGAGAAATGGACTTCACAAGTCCCATTTGCTCAGCTTGGTTCTTTGTATTCCCCACCCCCTCCCACTTTGTTAAAGCATTGTTTAGGGGAAGAAGCACTTAAAAGGTTATTTTGTTGCAGTTTTTCTATCATAGTTGGCTAAAGTGCTTATTCCACCCAGAAAATGACCAATCAGTGATTTCATGAATGGGTAAGAAGATACACAGGTGCTTGTTTCAACCAAAATGATCATATTTCTGACTACTCATTGAAAAACCCATGAATTTACTGTTGATTGGGAACAATTTTAATGCCTTTCAGCTTTTTTTTCCCCTTTCAAAAGTATGAGGAAGACCAATTCAGGGAAATCTAGACGATTAATCTTATGGAGCAAAATAACTTCAGGGTCTTGGAGAGAAGGAATAGATATTTGTTTGTCAGGGCATGTTCTTTCCTTGTTCTGAGTTATTCTGTAAGTCAGGCCTTGCCCTTTAGAAAAGGGCATTGTGTGGGTGGTTAAGGGGAAGTAAATTAGAGCAGTTAAAAGGGAATTTAGTTTTCACACTTCTATTAATCCATTTCTTTTAATTTCCAGTCTATTATCCTCCCAGTCTACAATGCTGAACTGTGGTTGGATGAGTGTTTGAAGTCTGTTTTGCAACAGGACTTTGAAGGCACCGTGGAGCTCTCTATTTTTAATGATGCTAGTAAGGTATTTATAAACTTCCTGTTGGGTCTTTTAACCCCAGTATAAGTCACATTTGACTGTTCTGAGGAAAGTTTCCTGATCTGCCAGTGTCCTTCTTTCAGGACAAGTCTGGGACTATCATTGAAAAATGGAAAGAGAAGCTAGAAGTTTCTGGTATCCTTGTGGTCATTGGAGGCCATGATTCTCCTTCTCCCCGAGGAGGTGAGTAAACATGTTTAACTTATTTATTTATTTGAGTTGGAGTCTCACTCTGTCTCCCAGGCTGGAGTGCAGTGGCACGCTCACGACCACCCCAGCGTCGACCTGCTGGGCTCTGACGATTCTTCCGCCTCAGCCTTCTAAGTAGCTGGAGCTACAGGCATGCACTGCCACGCCCAGCTAATTTTTGATTTATTGTAGAGATGAGGTCTCATCAAGTTGCCTGGGCTGGTCTCGAACCCGCAGGCTCAGGCAATCCACTCGCTTTGGTCTCCAAAAGTGCTGGGATTACAGGCTGAGCCACCAAGCCTGGCCATGTTTAGCTTATTAAACTGTAATTCATGATATCTTTTTTATTTTTGTATACATATATTTTTTGTTTTAAAGATGTGGAGTACAATTCAGGGTTAGATATACAAATAAATGTTCATTATGCAGGTACCCTTGATGAGGTTTGTCCTCCCTGCCCCCCCATCAGATAATTCATGATTTCTTATCAATTGACGTACTTAAATAGTTTTTTTGAATTGGAGTCTCACTCTGTCGCCCAGACTGGAGTGCAGTGGCACGCTCCTGGCTACCGCAGCTGCGACCTGCTGGTCTCCGGCAATCCTTCCGCCTCAGCCTTCCAAGTAGCCGGAGCTACAGGTGTGTGCTACCACATCCGGCTAATTTTTTATTTATTGTAGAGACAAGGACTCACCAAGTTGCCCTGGTGGGTCTCAAACCCACAGGCTCAGACAATCCGCTTGCCTTGGCCTCCCAAAGTGCTGGGATTACAGGCTGAGCCACCAAGCCTTGCCCTTAAATAGTTCTATGTTGTTCAAATACTGACAAAAAGTATCTTGGTGATAATTGGGTCTACCACTTATTAAGCACTTACTGGATCTAAATTCCTTAATTTTCGGTAAGGATTTGTTATTATGATCTGAATGTTTGTGTCCTCTCCAAAATTCATGTGTTGAAACCCTAACCCCCAAGGTGCCTTTGGGAGATGATGAGGTCATGAGGGTGGAGCTTCATGCAGCGATAGTGTCCTTATAAAAGAGACCCCAGAGAGCTCCCTTGCTCCTTCTGCTGTGTAAGGACAGTGTGAATCAGATTACAGGCCCTCAGCAAACACTGATTCTGCCACAGGCTTGGCCCAGAACTTCCAGCATTCAGAATTGTGAGCAATGAATTTCTGTTGTTTAGAAGCCACTCAGTCTATATTATTCTGTGCTTACACTCAGATTATTCCAGCCACAGTAACTACTAATCTACTTTCTGTCTCTGTAGGTTTGCTTATTGTAGACATGTCATTAAATGGAATCACATAATACGTGCTCTTTTGTAACTGGCTTCTTTCCTTTAGCATAATGTCCTAAGGTTCATGTAAAGTGGTAGCATATATGAGTATTTCATTCCTTTTCATAGGAGAATAATATTCAATTGTATGAAAATGCCATATGCTGTTTGTCAGTTGATAGATAATTGGGTTGTTCTACTTTTTTAGCTTTTGTGAATGGTGCCAGTATGAACATTCATACACAAATTTTTGTTTGAACGCTGGTTTTCAATTCCTTTGGGCATATACCTTGGAGCAAATTTTCTGCATCATATTATAATTCTATATTTAACATATTGAGGAACTGTCAAACTGTTTTCCATGGCGTCTGCACCATCTTCCATTCCCTCCAGCAATCACTTCCTGGCCTTTCAAGTGTACATTTCCTCCAGCAGTGTATGAGGGTTATAACTTCTCCATATCCTCCTCAACACTTGTTATTTTCTGTTTTTTTATTTTTATTTTAAAAATTATAACCGTGCTATAATTAAAAAGTGGTAGGAAGTGGTGTCTCATTGTGGTTTTGATTTGTATTTCCCTGTTGACTGATGTTGATAAGCATCTTTTCATGTGCTTGTTTTGCCATTTGTATATCTTCTTTGGAGAAATGTCTATTCAAGTCTGTTGGCCACTTTCTAATTGGGTTATTTGTCTTTTTGTTGTTGAATGGTAGGAGCTCTTTATATAGCCAAGATACTACAACTTACTAGATATGATTTGCAAATATTTTCTTCCATTCTTTGAATTATATTTTTGCTTTCTTGAATGTGCCTATTGGTGCACAAAAGTTTGTAATTTTGATGTATATGAAATCCAGTTTATCTATGTTTTATGACATGGGCCTTTGGTGTTATATCTAAGAAACCATTGCTAAGTCAAAATCATGAAAATTTATCCTTATGTCTTCTACAAAGAGCTTTCTACTTGTAGCTCTTATGTTTAGGTCTTTCATCCATGTTGAGTTAGTTTTTACATATGGTAGGAGATAAGGTAACTTCATTCTTTTGTATGTAGTTGTTTCAACATCATTTATTTAAGAGACTTATTCTTTCTCCATTTAATTTTCTTGGTACTCTTGTCAAAAATCAACTAACCATAAATGTATAGGATCATTTCTGAACTGTCAATTCTATTCCACTGGTCTATATGTCTATCTTTATGCTAGTACCACAGTATTTTGATTACTTCAGCTTTGTGATAAGTTTTGAAAATTGTTTTCTTAATTTCCTTTGAGATTGTTTATTTCTGGTGGGTAACACTCACGGCCACCCCAGCGTCAACCTGCTGGGCTCAGGTGATCAATCTTTCCACCTCAGCCTCCCAAGTAGTTGGAACTACAGGCGCATGCTACTATGCTCAGCTAATCTTTTGATTTATTGTAGAGATGAGGTCTTGTCAAGTTGCCCAGGCTGGTCTTGAACTTGTGGGTTCAGGCAGTCCTCTCACCTTGGCCTCCCAAAGTGCTGAAATTACAGACTTGAGCCGCTGCACCTGCCCTTAATGTTTTTCTTATCAATGAACTATTCTTGCAGTGCTAGAATAAACCAGCAATGACATTATATTATTATTATTGTTATTATTATTACTGTTTTTGAATTGGAGTCTCACTCCATTTTCCAGACTGGAGTGCAGTGGGATGTTCACAGCCACCCCGGTGTTGACCTGTGGGCTCAGGTGACCCTTCTGCCTTAGCCTTCCAAGTGACTAGAACTACAGGCGCACGCTACCATGCCCGGCTAATTTTTTGATTTATTGTAGTGATGAGGTCTCACCAAGTTGCCCAGGCTGTTCTCAATCCCGTGGGCTCAGACAGTTCCTCACCTTGTCCTCCCAAAGTGCTGGGATTACAGGCTTGAGCCACTGTGCCCTGCCTATAGTATTATTTTATTTCGTTTTTTGAATCAGGGTCTCATTCTGTTACCCAGACTGGAGGGCAGTGGCGCAATCATGGCTCACTGCAGCCCCGACCTTCTGGGCTCAGGTGATCCTTCTGCTTCCGCCTATCAAGTAACTGGGACTACAGGTGAATGCCACCATGCCCTACTAATTTTTTAATTTTTGTAGAGATGAGGTTTCGCTATGATGCCTAGGCTGGTGTCAGGCTCCTGGGCTCAAGAAATCCTTTTACCTGGACCTCCCAAAGTGCTAGGATTACAGGTGCAAGCCACTGCACTTGGCCAACATGATAGTATTTTTATACAGTATAGTATTTCAATTTTCTTTCATACCTTTGCATTTGTATCTTATAGATGGAGACTGGGTCATAGCCTTTGTTCTTGAATTGTGTGTCTGATTTAGGGATAAAAGCAGAAGGTCTCACACCTGCTGGTATAGTGTTCATGAAAGCAATAATTATATAGCGCAATTCTGCTTCCTTTTTTTCCTCAACCTCTCCCGTAAAAACTAGCCCTACAGTTTATACGTAAGAGGACAAAAGTTATCTACTGATTTTCACAAATAAATGTCTGCTTTGATTAATAAAAAAATATATTTTTTAATACCAGCATGTGGTGAAAAGAAATTCAGCTGTAGAGAGGGATCTACAATGAAATGTAAAAGCCTCACTCCCTACAAGTAATTGGTGAATTTTATTTCTTCTTACTTGGCTTATTGAACTCTCACAGCATGTGTTGATACTCTTTGAAAGAGGAACTTTAACCCACTTAAAGCACTTCAGACTTCTTTTTTGTTTGTTATAGTATATTTACATTGTCAGAACTTGTAATGTTTATAGTCTCTTCTAGAACTCTTGTTTTATGTACTTTACCAATAGGTTGATTCCAACGATTCAAACCTTGTAAAAATAGCATTTACATTATTAAAAATACATATCTGTACTTGCTATGAAACTTGTAGTGGGATTCGACTCTGAAGGAACTGAAACCCTCTGCTGCATATTTGGGGGATTTCACTTCCTGAGTGTCAAAATCTGATGGAACCTTTAAAAAAATCTTTAGCTTTATTCTCTTTCTCTAAGTGCCATTGTCTGTTTTTGTTCCTTCTCTCCCTCTTTTAAAATTTATTTTTGTGTGTTCCTTTTCATTTTGTTGGAGTATTTCTTCAAATAATTTTTCTGTGTGTGATACGTTAATGGTAACACATGTCTGACAATATATTTTTTTTTTTTTCTCTGAGTTGGAGTCTCACTCAGTTGCCCAGACTGGAGTGCAGTGGCACACTCACGGCCACTGCAGCCTTGACCTGCTGGGCTCAGGTGATCCTTCTGTCTTAGCCTTCGACAATGTCTTTTTTTTTTTTTTTTTTTAATGTATGCTCAATTGACAGTTTGGCTAGGTATATGGAATTTTAGGTGCAAAATAATTTTCCTTAGAATTTTAAAGGGATTACTTCATTATCTTCTAGTGTCTATGTTTCTAATAAGAAATCATATGTCAGTCTGACTCTTGTTATTTTAAAGGTATCAAAATTTCCTTATGCTGGGTCAAGATGTACCTGTTTTTTCATTTATTTGCTGGTTTTTTTTTTGTTTGTTTGTTTGAGTTGGAATCTCACTCTGTCACCCAGGCTGGCATGTTCACAGCCACTGCAGCCTCAACCTGCTGGGCTCAGATGATCCTTCTGCATCTGCCTTCCAGGTAGCTGGAAATACAGGAACGTGCCACCATGCCTGGCTAATTTTTTTTTTTTAATTGTAGAGATGAAGTCTCACCAAGTT